GAAGTTAAATAATTAAATATAAATAATTCAAATGAACTGTTGACCTTATAGTTTTATTAAGTGTTCTAAAAACACTCATTTTACCAGTCTACATAGAAATCAACATCATTTGGTGATGATTTCACAAAAGCAAGTAGAAAAGACATTTCTTTCTAACAATATTAATAGATATCACTATGATTTTAATGGCCGTGTCCCCCTCCAAACTCATGTTGGAACTTAATTCTGATGCAGGTGTCAAGAGATAGGCCTTTGGGAGGATAGAGCTCCCAGGAATGGGATTAATGTCTTATAAAAGACACTAATTTTTTTTTAAGAATTATTTTAACTTAATTAATTTATTTATTTTCATTTGACCAGAGAGGGACAGACTGAGAGGGAGAGAGAGAGAGAAGGAAAGTGAGAGAAAGCAAGCCACCAGGTCTGGGACTTGAACCGTGGTTGGCCATATGGGAGTCCAGCACCCTTAACCACCACGCCGCCTGCCAGCCCCTAAAAGACACTAATTTTGTATGTCATCTCTTTGGCTGGGTGATGACACAGTGCTTGTCCCTCTGGAGAATGCAGCAACAAGGTGCTGTCTTGGAAGCAGAGATTGGGGTCCAAACCCCACAGATGTCTTGATTTTGGATTCACAGCCTCCCAAATCATGAGCAATAAATTTATGCTGCTTTTTTAAAGCACCCAGTTTAAGATATTTTGTTGGGACCAGCAGATGGCGTAATGGGTATGTCGCTGAACTCCCATGTAGTTGACTATAGTCCCAAGTCCCAGACCCGGAGGCTTAAATCTAGCGCCAGGCGCACATGCATGTGCATGCCCAAGATCTCGACAGAAGAGTGGTGTGGCCATCACCCCAGAGGGTGACTTCTTGTTTTCTCTCTGTCTCACTGGCAAGTGAGACGTGCCCTATAGCAAAAATCTCTCAGGGAAAAAAAATGTTTTGTCATGGCAGCAGGTACAATCTGAGACAGAAATTAGTACCAGAAGTGGGGGTTGCTATAACAAATACTTACAAATGTGCAAGTGGCTTTCGAACTGGGTCATGAGTAGAGGCTGAATGGTAAAGGCCTATTCTGGTGAGGGCTCAGAGGAAAGCTGTAGAGAAAACCTTAATCTTCCTGGACATTTCTTAAGTGGTCCTGGCCAGAATCCTAGTGAAAATGTAAAGGTAATGCTGTAAAGGCAATTTTCTCTTTTTATTTCATTTTTTTCCTTCTGAGACAAACAAATGGCACCCCTAACACAGTCTTGAGGCCATGACCCACTCCCAGCTTCAGCCGGCCCCAGATCATGAGCACATGTGTGTCCGGAGTACTCAGGGATCCGTTTCCTCTGAAGGTCAGTTTCAGAGCATCATTTCTCCCCCGTGGCATCATGTAGTCCATGTTAATGCAATTATGATGAGGTCTCAGATAAAAATAAGAAACAAGGTACTGGCAATTGGAGGAAAGAACATCCTTGTCATAAAGTGGCTAAAAGTCCATTCCCTAGTGCTTTGTCTAAGAGAGAACCTGCAAGTGATGAATTAGAATATTTGGTAGAAGAAATTCTAGGCAAAGGGTTGAGGGTGTGGCATGGCTTTTCTTGATTGCTTATAATACAATGTAAGAAATGAGTAATAAAGATTAAATTTATCATCAAAAGCAGCAGATTTGGAAAAATCTCAGTCTGGCCAGGTTGTAAAGAGTAAAATGGCAAGTTCAGGAGAGGGAATTAAGGATGTAGCCAAGTGAACTTTGGTAAGTATGGCTACAAGGAAGCCAGATGCAATTAATTAAGACAATGGAAGAATGACCCCAAAGGCATTTCAGAATCTTAGAGGCTGCCACTCCCATCACAGGTCAAGTGCTAATGCCTCAAAGGCAAAATGGTTTCAAAGAGGAGTCAGGGCCCCTCTAGTTTCTGCTCCCTGCATTCCTTAGTTGTAGCTTAAGCAGGCCCAGGTGCAGCTTGGGCTGCTGCTCCTGAGGGTGCAAGCAGGAAGGTGCTAACTTTGCAGGCATATGCACAGCTGTGGAGGTGTAGCTTCCTCCACCTAGATGTCAAAGAATGCCTCAGGAAGCCTTGGGGCCCAGGCGGCAAGAGCAAGGCACCAGAGCGTAATGCACAGAGAGCTGTGGGGGTTAAGACCACTGCAAAGACTCCACTAGGGCAATGCGTAGTGGAGCTGTTGCAGTGCTGCTCTTCACAGATCCTAGGACTCCAGTCAGTGTGTAGATCCAGACTGGGAGAACAGCAGACAGACTCCAATCTGTGAAACTGCCTTACAACCCGTGTTCAGCCAAGTCCTGGGGCCCCAACCCCCAGGTTGGAAGGTGGAACATGGAGTCAAAGAAATTCTGGAGCTTTAGGGTTTAATATTTGCCCGGTTGGCTTTTTGGTTTTTCAGAGAACACCCCTACCAGGGCCCTGACATTGTGAAACGTTCTCAGCCTTTATCGGCCTTAGATCATGGACAAGTGTGTGCCTGGTGTACTCAGGGTCTCTGGACTTGAACTGGAAACCTCACGTGGGACTGCCTCACAGAGTGTTGTTTCCCTGATACACCACAGTCCAGCTATCCTGTTGCATTTGAATTTGGTAGGAACCTGTTACTCCTTTCTTCTTCCTATTTCTCCCATTTTTTAAAGAAAGGATTATTTATTTAACTTTATTTATCATAATTATTATTTTTAATTTGCTAAAGGGCACGTGAGTTCACCATAGACAGAAAGTGAGAAAGCACGCCATCAGGTCCAGGACTTGAACCACCATCAGCTATGTGGGAGTCCAGCACCTTAACCACCATGGCACCTGCTGGCCCTAATTTCTCCCTTTTTTAATAAGAATGCTTATCCCATCATTATCCTTTTTTTCTTTTTAAAGAGGCTTTGCCTTAGGGTATAAACACTGGCCATGAAACCACAGGGGAGAGAGACAGATAATGAGAGGGAAAATGAGCAATAACCCCCAAGGGGGATGACCATGCCACAATCTCTTCTCCTTCAAACTCCTCCTGGGATCTTGGGCATGCACGCATACATGCCCAGCGTAATTTTCATGCCACCAGGTCTGAGACTTGAATTGCAGTCAGCTATGGGAGTCTAATGATGTAATTGTTATGCCATCTGCTGGTCTCTACACACACACACACACACACACACACACAGGCCCAGTATGATTTTCAAGCGCCAGATCTAGGATTCCAACAGCAGTCTGCCACGTGGGAGTCCAGTACCTTAACCACCATGCGACCTGCTGTCCCCATTATCTTTTGGAAGTATATAACCTATTTTGATTTCACAGGTTCACAGATGGAGAGTAGTTTGCCTCAGGATGACTTGTATCTTGAGCTTCACCCATATCTATTTAGATGAGACTCTGGACTTCTGAGTTGGTGCTGGAACAAATGAAGACTTCTGGGACTACTGGGGTGAAATGAATGTATTTTGCTTATAAGAAGAATAGGAATTGTGGGTACCAAGGATGGAATGCTGTGGTCTGAATATATTCTGCAAAAATGATCTGTTGATACTCACCAATGTGACAGTACTGAGGAAGGGCTTTTAAGAGGTGATTAGGTAGGTCTCGAGGGAAGAGTCCTTAGAAATGGGATGACTGCTCTCATAAAAGGGCTGGCTGAAACTAACTAGGCCTTTTATGCTCTTCCCTTTCCCACACTGTGAAGATGCAGCAAGACAAGCTATCCTGGAAGCAGAGAGCAGCTCTCTCCAGCTACACAATCTGATGACACTTTGATCTTGGATTTCCTGGTTTCAGAATTGCGAGAAAATAAATCTGTTCTTCATAAAATTATAGCAGAGGAATGGACTAAGACAGATACAGTTACATCAGAAGATACTGAGACAACTTCTCATACGAATACAGGTATGAGAGAAGGCTGCTGCTTATATAATTTGGAAGGGCATTCCATAAGAAAAAGAATTAGGGGTTGGGACGAGCAGCTGGTGTAATAGTTATGTCGCTGGACTCCTATGTAGTTGACTGTGGTTCAAGTCCCAGACCCAGTGGCTTAAAACTCAAGCTGGGCGCATATGCGCCTAAAATCCTGAGAGAATGGAGAAGGGATTGTGGCATGGCCATCCCCACTGTGGGGTTATGTCTTGCTTTCGGTCTCTCTGTCTGTCTCTTTGGTGAGCACATGCACCCTTCAGCAAAAATCTCTCTGAAAAACAACCAAAAAAAAAAAAAAAAAAAAGAATTAGGAACAGGGTCTTAGAAAGAAACTATGCAAATGAGGAGCCCTGAAGCAACAGCACTTGCCTGCATTTTAATTTATGCACATATATAATTTTTTCCCCCAGAGGGTATGTGTGCCTGCCAAAGAGAGACAGAGGGAGAGGGGAGAGAGAAAGCACCCCCAGTGGGACATGGACATACTGCAATCCCTTCTCCTTCATTTCTGTACACATGCTACAAGTGCCCGGTATCTTTAGACGGCTGGGGCTGGAATTCAAACTGTAGCTGTATAGATCTGGCTCCTTTAACCACTAGTCCATGGGGCCAACTCTGCTTCTTAAAAGAAGTTAAGAGTGCAAGTTCCTAGGCCCAATGCTTTGCACAGAGCAGGTATACATAATTTAAGAAGTTACAAAGAACCCTGCATCCAGCCTCTATACATCAGGTCCTCAACAAATCTGTATTAAACACTGTTTTTTCTTCTTCTTCTTTTTTCTTGCTATAGGGCATGTGCACTCACCAGAGAGAAACAGAGATAGAAAGCAGGAAATCACCCCCCGGGGGGGATGACCATGCCACAATCCCTTCTTCTCCATTCTTCTCTCGGGATCTTGGGCACACACGCACCCGTGCCCGGCGTGAGTTTAAGCCACCAGATCCGGGACTCAAACCACGGTCGACTACATGGGACTTCAGCGACGTAGCCATTACGCTAACTGCTGGTCCCTTAAACGCTGTTGATCTATGACTCATCCCACCTTAGAAAACAAGTTCTAGTGAAGTTGTGCTGTTCATCCAAGAATGACACAGACTGCCCATAATGTCTTATCATTTTAATTGACTTTAATGATTATTGCTCATCTGCAAGGATTAATATTGCATTCATTAAAAATCATTCAGTACAAAATGAACTTGTTCCTTCCAAGTTGCTCTCCACATGCTCCCTCTGATGCCAGACATTTTTCTACAGTGTCCTGTGTAACATGGCTTGACAGAGACGGAGCCCTTACCTATCATTCCTATGGACACAATAATAGACATGGGATCAGGGGGCAGGCAGAGGGCAGCAGGATCTGTGCCCCTTCCCTCAAGGAGAGCTATGCGATGGACACACTGTTGGCCAGGTTACCTCCCCTAGTGGATATGGTGTTCTGATTGGCTGGTCAAGTGCCCTAGGAAAAAGGGCTTCAACTGTTAGCATCTACAGAGAAGAAAGCATGGTCACACTGTCAAGGAGTGGGAAGGGAATGGGGGAACGGGTGGGAAGAAATGGGAGAGGAAAGGGGAAAAAGTTTTGGCAAGACAGTTGTCCCCTGCTAGGAAGCTGCAGGGTGAAAGTTGTCCTTTCTGAACATTTGTTTTTAATGTCTGTCTCTTACTCAGTGGAAAGAGAAATGACAATTTCTAGTATCTAGCACTAATGCATGACCCAACTTGAAGGATCACAAGCTAGAACAAGTTGAAGATTTAAAATCCTGGATAAGTATATACTTAAAGCTTCTGAGCATAAAGCTCATTTGACCATGCAGAAATGCTGGTAAGCAGGATGCATGGCATAGGAATACATCTCTCCAATCTTGAAAGCTTCTCTCGGGTTTTTTTCAGAGTGTGAGCCAGGTAGTACTGACTTTTCTCTACACACAAACTGCTTTTTAAGATCTTAGTCCACACAACTTTTTGTGTTATGTGTCCATCAAAAGTAGTACCCTTTCTATAAAACTAATGTTATATAGGGCCTAGAGTTCCAGACAAATGCAGCTACATTTCTTTCATCCTGGCCGAATTTATCATTCCTCCTCTCCTCCACACCTACCTCCCTTTAAATATTTTTAGGTTGCAGAAGCACAGCTGGCCAGAAATTTGCTCTTAAAGGATAAATCCTAAAGATAGAGCTCAGTGCTTTATACTGAGTAATGGCTCATAAAGTTTGCCTTCAGCACAAGCTGTATAGGGCAGAGCTGACAGAATTTGCTGTTATGGCTCCAGTTCACTGATGCTATAAACTAGGGCTAGAAACAGAGGGACTTGGCAGAGTTTGAGACTAGGACTTCGCTAGACTCAACTCTGTACTCTTAGATCTAAAGGCTCAAAAGAGAAAATGATAACAACTAACCACCCGAGCAGTTCCTCAGTGTTAACACTAAAATATATATATATATATATTTTTGTTTGATAGAAATAAATGCTAGGGGACGAAACTTAATAGAGTGCAGTCTAGTTAAAAACTAGAAAAATGAGAGTCTGGTGGGAGTGGAGGAAGGGCTGTACTACAAATCCAAATGGGCCTACTGGATCTTAACAAGAACACTCACTAGGTACACATCTCCGAAGAAGACAGACCACCTTCACACAGGAAACAGAGCTGGGACTTCTAAGGGAAATTAACATGCACCACCTACATCTAACCTACCTGGCTGGTAGGTACCATCCCTGCTCCTCTGAAGAAGTTAAAGAGCACAGATTTCAGCAGCTAAGAAATGGGCTCTTTTAAGGCAATTTAGACATTGCAGATTGTTCCACATAGAAGGTACCTTAGCATTTCCTGTTAATAAGATACCCAATTAAGACTAAAGTCCCCAGAAATGGTAAAGGGAGAATCACCTTTCTGGACTGGGAGAGTAAAATCCTTCTTTAGTGACTAGGGAGAGAAACCTTGAACCTCAGTTTCACCTAAAGAGCCATGAAGCAAGTTCCTGTGTGGTCTGCAGAACTTGGATAATGAGATGAAAAAACAAGAATGAAATTATAGGAAAAAAAAAATCAGAGGAAAGGAATAAGAAGAAAATAAAAGTTATCTTAAAAAATATTTCTTTAAGAGTTGTGTGGTTCATGGGGACTGGTCCTTGGTAGTATGGTCCGTTAGTATCTGTAAAGAAAGAGATTGGTTGGTTAACACATCATCCTTCTAAGAATTCCAAGGAAAGTATTATCAAAACAGAGCACCTTCTCCAGGGTCCCTCCTGGCCTAAGCTAAGGATCCCTGCAGTCATTTCCCAGGGCTTCATTCTAACCTGTTCTACAGGGTTTCTGATGATGCCATTTCCAATGGTAGCTCATACTCCCTGATAATATGTCAGTGGTTTTCAACCATAACTAGACATTAGAATAATCTGAGGAGCTTTTATAAAAACACAGCCTGGGCCTCACTCGCAATTGAGTGTATCAGAATCTCTGGGGTGAAGCTCATGTGCCAACATTTCAGAAAACCCTTACTTCTTTACATTTACCACTGGACAGCTATTTCTCTGCCTATGCTGCTAATCTGAACAGTGTTCCTGCACTCTTCAAAGCCAGGTATAGCACCTGACCTTTAAGGAAGTTGCCTAGCTTACTTGGTTTCATACTGGTGATAAGAGGTTTTTACTTGCTTTCCCCCAAGTTACCTGTAATAATTGGGTTTGAATGGCCCATTTTTGTTGAGTCCCAGGTATTTTGCTTGGTCATCTGTCAGCTCAGTCAGGTGGGCATCAAAGGATGGCAGGTGCAAGCTGGCAACATACTCATCTAAGAATAAGAGCAAAGTGGTGGGGAGCAGACCCCTTTTAAATATGCCCCTTTGTATATGCCTCCCCACCATTGGAAGCTTTTTGAGAAAGAGGACAAGAGATGGAGTAACTTTTCCTTTCTTTTCTTTTTAAAGATTTATTTATTTAACTCCATTTGTTATTATTTTTTAATTATTTATTCAACTTTACTTATTCATTCATTTTTTTTTTTATTTTACTAGAGATACACACACACACACACACACACACACACACACACACACACACACAGAGAAGGTGAGAGAGCAAGCCATCAGGTCCAGGACTTGAACTGTGGTCAGCCATGTGGGAGCACCCAGCGCCTAAACCATGTCACCTGCTGGTCCCATTATTATTATTTTTTTAATACGACAAGAGAGAGAGAGAGTGAGCGAGCGAGAAAGCAAGCCACCAGGTCCAAGGCTCAACCGAGATTGGCCATGTGGGGATCCAGTGCCTTTAACCACCATGCCACCTGCTGGCCCTTCTTTTTTTTAATATAGAATTATTTATTTTATATATAATTTTTTTTCTTTTCAATTTGCTGTAGGGTACACTTGCTCACCAGAGAGAGACAGAGAGAAAGTGAGAAAGCAAGCTGCAAGGTCTGGGACTTGAACCGCAGTTGCCCATGTGGAAGTCCAGCACCTTAACCACCCTGTCACCTGCTGGCCCTAGATGGAGTAACTTTTAAAGAAGCCACAATTTGAAATAACTGCATAATTAAAAAAGCCCTCAAACCTGTCTTTCTGATAGGGTACTTACTTCTCTCAGTACATTTAGGTAAATTTAAAAAGCCACTTACCAGGGTGACAAGATGGGGGGAGTTATGCCTCCCTACTCTTTTCTAGCAAAGCTTCTGGCTTCATCTCAGAGGCTAGCATGTCATGTGTTGCGTGCACCTCCTTGTAGCAATCTCCTCAACTGGGTTAAATTATAGTGAAATTTTGAATCAAGGTGGACACTAGTCAGTCTGATAGAGCCTTGTGTCATTAACACTTTTTAGGATGAAAGCCATAAAGGTCTCAAATCTTGCAATCAGGAATTTCTAAGGTAGTCAGCACAGATTTATTACTTTTGCATAGATAAGATTCCCTGGGTTTTATGGACTTAATTTTATATTTTTTAAATTTTATTTTTAAACCAGTCTGAGGTAAGTAGTTAGAGGGGATGGGAGTGAGAAATTTTTAGCTTCAGGTGGTCAGGGATTTGGGCTGGCTAATGAGAGACAGGAGGTGGGCACCACTGTGCAGAAAGGAAAAGGACTAAAGAGAGAATGTACCACATCACCTGAACACAGGATAGGCTGTCCTCTGGAACGACAGGAGGGTGGGAAAGAGGCAGTGTGCGTATCTACACAGAGGGTGAATACAGCCCGTCTGTGTGTTTCTCTCATTTTGGTCTCAGCCTGTACTCACCAAACTTTGTAAAGCTACTTAAACCAAGAGCATCCACCCCAAACCACTGTGCTCACCACTGTTACTCATCAGCTCTAATTCTTATACAGTTCTGCAATGTATGTAGTATTACTCTCAGTTTACTGATAAAGAAATTGAAGCTCACGGAGATTAAAAGTTGTCCCGAGTCAAACAATCAGGAAGCACTGGATGAGGAATTAGAACAAATTCTAAATCCAAGTGCTTTCCACGACTGTCATTTTACCAAACCATGCAGCTGTCTGGGGATTGATACAGGTTTTTGCTATTTTTCACTCACCCATTTTCTTAGGAAGCAAGTATACATCCTGTTTGTATCGTCCTTCAGGTGCATTATAGAGTTCTATCAGTGCCAAAGCCTAAGGCAGGAAAACAGGATCAAAAACACAAACATTTCTTAGGGAAAATAAAAATAAACTAGGATTAACAAGTCTTAGGGTAAGTGTCACAGTGACCTACTACAGTGAAAACATTTAGGACTCTAAAAAAGGCTAGTACAGGGAACCAGCAGTTAGCGTAATGGCTATGTCACTGGACTCCCATGTAGTCGACTGCGGTTCGCATCCCGGGTCCGTTGGCTTAAAACTCATGCCGGGCGCGTGTGTGTGCGTGCCCAAGATCCCAAGAGGAGAATGGAGGCGAAGGGATTGCGGCGTGACCATCCCCTCTGGGGGGTGATTTCTCGCTTTCTGTCTCTCTGTCTCTCTCTGTCTGTCTGGCAAGCACACGCGCTCTATAGCAAAAAACAAGCAAACAAACAAACAAACAAAAAAGCAAACTCATGCCGGGCGCGTGTGCGTGCGTGCCCAAGATCCCAAGAGGAGGATGGAGGAGAAGGGACTGCGGCGTGACCATCCCCCCAGGGGTGATTTCTCGCTTTCTGTCTCTATGTCTCTCTCTGTCTGTCTGGCGAGCGCATGCGCCCTATAGTGAAAACCTCTAAAAAAAAAAAGGCTAGTACACAGCATAGAATTTGCAGGGGTTTTGTTTAGTTCCTGACAAAGAAGTGACTAGACCTAAGCTGGACCAAAACTTTCTCAATGTAAACAGCCAACTCAAAGAGTCACAAATACTGACTAGTGACTTTTTTCTATATGTTATGGTTTGGATCAAGGTGTGTCCCCCAAAGTTTCATACTTTGAAATTTGGTGCCTGGAGAGGGTGAGGTCTAGTGGGTGGTAGTTGGATCACGGTGATTGCATTATGCAGGCAACAGTTACACGAACAGCTTAATGACGTCTTGTAAGATCTAGTGAGTTTTAGATCTCGTGAGAAGAATCTAGTTCTCGTGAGAGCTGGTTAATAAAAAAGAGAGTAAGCTGCTTGTTCTCCCTGCATTCCTCTGCTATTCTCTGTGCTTCTGTTGGCCGTCTTAAAGGATGGCCTGATGTCAGGTCCACAGCATCACTTTCAGCCACCAGTTACGTCACTGGACTACCACACAGTTGACCATGGTTGCGTCCCAGACCCAGCAGCTTGAAACTCACGCAGCGAGTGTATGCATGTGTACCCGGAATCCCAAGGGTGAACAGAGGAAGGGAATGCAGTGTGGCCATTCTCTCAGGGGGTGATTTCTCACTTTCTGTCTCTCTGGCGAGCACATGTGCCCCATAGTGAATCTTAAAAAACAATCAAAAACAAAAACAATAAAACCCCTTTTCTTTATAAATCACCCACCCTCAGGTACCTTTGTTAGCAATGCAATAATAGATGAAGACACTATACTTGAGAAAGGTTAAGTCTCAACAACTTCTAACATGAAAAAAGAACAGGCTGATAAGAACATAGCTCAGTGGGCCAGCCAGTGGTGTGGTGGTTAAGGTGCTAGATTCACATGGCTGACTATGTGGTTCGAGTCCAGGACTCAGTGGCTTAAAAATCATGTGAGGCAAATGGGTGTGTGTGTGCCCAAAATCCTGAGAGGAGAATGGAACAGAAGGGACTGCATCATGGCCACCCCCTCAAACCGGGGTTTTCTCACCTTCCCTTTCTCTGGCAAGCACATGTACCCTAAGGCAAAATCTTAAAAAAAAAACAAAACCAAAAAACACTATAGCATGGCACTCTCTCAGAACCCTGACCTGTGTCCAGTTCCATAGACTGAAGGAGAGGCAGACACTTTGCCACATACCTGTGTTGTAGCTGTGATGGACAGAACGAAGGTGGGAACAGTGGAGCAGCTCAAATTGAGTAGACGGCCCTGGAAAGGTAGGAGAGAGCCCTGGGATGAGCTGTCGCCCCTCTGTCTTAAACTCCAAACAAGTCAAGCAAATGCAGAAAAGGCTTAGGAAGAGGAAGGAGTACAGTTCCAGATTAGGAATCTAGGTTTTATTCTATTTTCTATAAATCCATCAGAGTCTGAAAGGCTGAAGAATCAGCTGTGGTCAGAAAATAATAAGTTATGTAGTAAAAAGTAGATTTTTGTTTTTGGAGTGATTCTGTTTTAGGGACCAGACCAACTGAGAAATATTAATACATGTCTATCCAAACACAGAATTCAGGGAAGCAGAGGCCTGGTGTCTCCCCCTGCCCCCCCTCCCTCCCCACCCCGCCCTCGGTGGTCTAACCACACTGCTGTGCTGCTCTGCTGGAGTCCTGCATGTACCTCTGCCAGGAGGACAACACGCTTGCCGTCGGGCCAGATGACATGGTCTACCTGAGAACGCACTCGTTCCCACGTCAGCTCTGGAGTGCGGAGGCTGGTCTGAAAGGAACAGAGCACAGTTGACTGTGGCTACAATGAAAGCAGAAGAGAAAGCCTAGTGCAAAATGAGAAGCCGTACCACGTCGATTTCTGTGTTGGAGTGGCCCATGTTACAGACGATACAACTGTTTTTCATGCGGTCCAAGTGCTCCCGTGTCACTACATTCTTATTTCCTGAAAGTAAAGAAGACGTCGGGCAACATGGGACAGGGGAAGTTTGGTGGCATTAAAGAGCATGTTAAGACTGGGGGGAAAGTATGTAAGTATGTATCTGTATGGTTTTAAAATCAAGCAGTAAAACAATTCACTAGGGAGAAGGGCTCCTTACTTTGGAAGCATGCTCAGGTTCTGTCAGCTCAGTCTAGTTCTGAGACCTTGCCACTGAGCACAGGTCTCACTTTTTTTTTAATTCCTTTTTTTTTTTTTTTTTTTTGAGAGGTTTTTGCTATAGGGTGCGTGTGCTCGCCAGAAAGACAAAGAGAGACAGAAAGCGAGAAATCACCCTCCAGGGGGGGATGCCATGCCACAATCTCTTCTCCATTCTCCTCTCGGGATCTTGGGCACGTACGGACATGCACCTGGCATGAGTTTAAGCCAGGTCCGGGACTCGAACCGCGGTCAGCTACATGGTAGTCCAGCAACATAGCCATTACGTCAACTGCCGGTCCCCAGGTCTCACCTACTTTATGTGCACGTCAGACCACTTCCAAGGGTCAGCCTCTGAGTTAACACCAAAGCAGAGACACTTACCCGTGCAAGTTATTACGACATCGACTTGCCGGATAACTTCATTTAGTTTTACCACCCGGAATCCATCCATGCTGTAAGCAAAAGAGATACCATGAACAAAGCAAAAAGGCAGTGGGAAGAAAGCTGGTCCCAAAACGAGGTAACAGAATCCCCTGTAAAGTCAGACCCAGCACTACTACTCAGGGATGCTAAGTGATGAGCTGAACTACACACTGTCCTCTTCAGAACCCCCGAGATTCCAGTGAAGAGGACAGAACAATCCTAGTCTTCCCTGCCCCTGAGAGAGTTCTGTAAACAATGATTAATATAATCAGTTAGGAACTCTCAGAAATACGGAGTACTTGTAGTGACTAACAGTACTATCACTATATTCTTACCAGGCTTGCAGGGCACAGATGGGGTCGATTTCTGTGATGTAGACAATTGCTCCGAGGGCCTTAAGAGCAGCACAGCAGCCCTTTCCGACCTGCAGAACGTAAGCAAGGCCAGGCCATCAGGCTTGTGAAGGCTTGGAGACTGGGGGATGCAGGTTCTTTGGGAGATAGCATGAACCTTCCTAAAATCATTCATTACTGAGTAAGCATTTGCAGGGTGCTCCGACCTCAAGTGAGCAGAAACAGACTCGGATTATGTTGTGAACCTCAGTTCAAAGAGAGGTAATTTAGCAAACATGTCATAGTGAGGGCTGGATTTTAGGTAAGTGTTAATCGTGAAGGAAACGAGACCAAGCAAGAGCAACTGTACCCTCTAATTTCTACATTTGATCTTAGCTAAAAGGCCGAGACGTGATACCTCTAATTTCTTATTTCAGTAGTGCATCTAACATGGCAAAACCTGGTATCTCTCATGTGAGCTGCCAAGGTCAGGCTCTTGGGAATGTCTATGGGTCATTGTTGAGGACAACAAAGTCTCCTGTGATCTATTCTTGGTTAAGTTATATGCCTATAGAGTCTACCCTTCATCCTACCACTAGTCTTTAGTGGGGCTAAAATGCTACCGTGTGCTTGAATTAAGTCTCATGAAAGGTTTTTATCACTGAGGGGAAACCGCCTAACGCTGTATTCCATAAGATAAACTGATGAAATCTGAAAATTCAGTTCATCTGTCTCTATTCAGTCTCTAGGTATGAATAAAAGACTTATGCTATTGTTTTGAGAAACATTATTTAAAAACGTATTTTAAACCCTGCACCAGTGACTCTAGACTGACACCCAGCGTTTCTAGTAAGTCTATGAAAAAAGGCAGACTCTGAGGCCCAGCTGTTTACCTCACCATAGCCACACACCACCACTTGTTTCCCACCAAACATCACATCTGTGGTCCTCTTCAGGCTGTGGAAACAGACAAGGGCTCAACTCAAACATTACTGGTTCAAACTCAGTCCCTTTGCACAAAGTGAAAAAGTATGGGGCAAAGTCTGTAAGAACTTTCAGATGGAAACTGGCTGAGCTCAGTGTGAAACAGGCTCCTCTCACAAACTTTTAAAGCCAAAGGAAGACCAGGGGACAAAACTAGAGCGATAACCAGACTAACACCACAACCCAACCCAACCCTACTCCTCTGAAGTTTGAAGATATATACACTTCAACCTACCCATCCAAAATGGATTCCCGGCAGCAGTACAAGTTATCAAACTTCTGTTTGGTAACAGAATCGTTGACGTTCATGGCTGGAACACAGAGCTTCCCAGCTTTGGAGAGCTGATAAAGCCTAAAGGGAGAAGAGGTCACAAAAACAACAAAAACCAAGTCAGATGATAAAACATAATGGGTGGCAAAATCTGCCTAATTCTCTTCAAGTTCCATGCTGCCCTCCCCAGTCTTGCCTCTTGCCCAAGGCTATTAGTAAGCACGAGTATTTCCTTGTCATCTCTCCTCACCTCTTTTTGTTTTCTTCTCGCCACAATGCCCCCCCCCACCCCTTTTTAAAAAAGAATAAAACCAACTCTTTCGCTTGAAGAAATTCACTTCTCTTCCATAAAGGGGACATTATTTTCTTAGACCAGCATTTCTTAATCTTTAAAAACCCATGCCTTTTGATTGACAAAGATTTCAATGCTTCTGGTATGACTCCCTGTGTGTATGCACGCAGACATGTGCCACGTGCCCCCAACTGAGGAACACTCTTCCAGGTATCTTTTAGGTATTCTGACAAGTCGTGAATAGTTTGCCCAGATTTACTTTTTGTGGTGTGAATACTGTGTAATTTTGCAATAGGATTTTTTTCATATTTCAAATATAAAGGTATAATACAATATTGAATACAGTTTTTCGAAAGACATTCACTTCCTACCCACCCCCTGCAAAACACTAGCTGAGAATCACTCAGTGGAGTAAATGGGAGAGAAAGATGTGTGAACTAGAGCCTGAAATAACTTCCTTCCAGTGTCTCCTCAATCTTTCAGAAGTAGACTCTGAAGTTGTATCTAGAGAAGATGCTCCCACTTAGTTACTACCAGTCTGAAACAAGCCCTAAAGCCTACAGAAACCAGAGAAATGTGCTGAGGCAAGGACACAAGGGGCAGCTACTCCAGAATCTGTTACCTGTGAACACCAGTCACGCTCTCTTCCACAATGCCTCGGATCTTCTTAAACACGTTTGGATACTTCTTATAAACCCAGTGGGTTAAGTCTCCCCCATCATCCAGGATCTACAGAACAGCCAGAAGACTTCTATGGGCATTCAGGCTGCTAGAGCTGGGGGGAACTTTGAACCCACTTTCTGCACTAGTTAGAGAGCCCTGTATGTTTTGAAAGAGCGCTCCTTAGAGCAGGCTTAGTGGACATATGGTCAAATTTGTTGGTATAAAATGGTTAAAAGGATTCCTAGGTTTGTTCTAGGCTACAGTGAGGAGTTTAGACTAATCACAGACTCGATTTTAGTCTAGTCTTAAAACACACAGCCCCTTTGAATGCAAAAGGAGAGCTAGGGCATGAAGGAAAGAAACCAGACTCCTACTCCATAGAGGTACTACATTATTTCCTTTTATTTTTAGTTCTGCAGTGTTTGAGCCACATGTGTTCAGCTAGTCTTACCCTTCCCCCACCTTTCCATTCAGTACTCAGACCCATTCTGAGTAAGTATCAATTTGAACATTTTAGCAACAAAGTCAGTGCATATGACCAAACATCCAAAACATATTTAATGGGAACCATGCTTTGAGGGAAAAAAAAGGAAATAAATCTATTGTCAAAGTGCAGGACAGACATGCATTATTACCATGTTGGCCTGCCACCCATCCATGTTCACACAACGGTCAATACACCACCAGAAGTCATCTTCAGACTCGCCCTTCCAAGCAAACACTGCAACTCCTGTAGACACAGAGATCAATCAGCTGGTCCTCCTTCAGGAGTGTCCTATACCAGTATTACTTTCTGAGATCCATGTGAAGAGAAATAGGCAAAACTATTATGGAAAGTAAAAAACATAGGGAGAATAGAAAGTTGAAGGAGTACTTTTAATTGAGCAATTACTTTGGTTAAGAAATCAAGGGTTTTTTGGCTTATAAAAGTGTGTCGGAACCTAAAAACATTATTGTTTGGACCAATTATACTTAGAACTCTACCCTAAGGAGACAAAGTGAAGTGGGGACCAATACGCAGTTGTTCCCTGCAGCACTGTTTATACTAGCAAACATCTTGAGTTGTCAAGCTGCTGCTTAATTCCAGAGCCGCCTTCTCCTCTCAGCAAACATCTTGAAACAACCTGAATGTTCAACATGAGGAAAATAGTAAGGTAAAACCACATGGCCATATGACTGAGTATTATAAATGATGCTGTCAGAGTTTTCAGTGATGTGGAAAACTACTTCTAAAAATGTTTTATTTAGGTTTTAAGACTGTAAACTTACTAAGATGTATTTCATCACTGAAAAATAAAAGAAAAAAATCTGACAAATATTACCTCTGTGTAGTGGGAATGTAGTTTTTTTGGAACTTCCTAAATTTTCTGCAATAAACACTTATGAGAAAAGAATAAATCATTTTAAAAAATTATAAAGCTGCTTTCTGAGGATCTAGGAAGGTGGGAACTCCTTAAAGAAACATTATATAATTTTTTGAACAATTAGATTATTTTGTTTATTAAACTCACTAGTAGTCCATATATTTTCTGAGCAACATCCTGAACTATCAGCATAAAAGGTACTTCTTATATTTTCTCTCAAAACATTTGGCAAAATGAGACCAGCCAAACTCACATATATATAACCATATAGTTCAAAATTCTTCCTCATTCATTTAACTTTAAGGCTAGGTATCAGATTCTTTCCAAAGATAATTTTTGGTGACTATATAATATTCCACCATGGATGCAGATCTTAACTTCCTTATCCATTTTCTTCCTGTTGATATTTTTTATAATTCCCAAAATGTTGTGGCTCCTAGGCATATGGTACAATGTAATGACAACTTTGATACGTAAGTTATGCTTAGATGATTATTTTGAGGCAAAATTGGTGGGAAACAACTGAACTTACCAGCCTCAGCCAACGCTGCAGCCACTTCGTTCTGAGTTGAGTAGATATTGCAAGCAGACCAGCGGCACTGAGCCCCCAGGGCACAGAGTGTCTCAATCAACACCTGTGTGGACAAGCAAGAAGACAGGGTGAGGGAGAGGAGGGTCACCCAAGAGTGAGAAAAACACTTCGGTAAGACTACAACGCCCATAACTCTGCAGCAACAGGTGCCACAGTGGGAAGTCACAGAAGGATATATTCCAGCTCGGTGTACTGGTACCTAACTGTACCCAAAAGATATGGTCTTGATATATTTTTATAACCATCACATTTTGGCAAATGTAGTTCTTCCTAAGTGAGGACTGTTAAAAGAGGGTTTACTTGTATAAACGAAAGTAGAAAACTCCATTTTTACATAACAGGGAGCTCTCACCTACTGGTTGGCTAGGTAGGGAAGGAAAAGCAAATCACAGGGAATATCTGTTTCTTTCCCTTACCAGAAGACTCTCTCCTTAGTTCCAATAAACTCACCGCTGTCTGGGCCGTGATGTGTGTACAGCCCACTATTTTAGCACCAGCCAAGGGCTTCTCCCCCTGAGCACGTTTCCTGAGTGAAATCAGAGCAGACATGTCTGTGAAAGAACAGAGGATTTGAGCTAGGTCTGCACTAGCAATATCATCATTTTCTGCCCCAACATCTAGGGCCGGTCTGGATCTGTTGAAATATGGTGAGATGAGGAAGAAAACCTGTAAGCATATTTCCACAATGACTGGCAGCTTCAATAGCAGAGTAACGGTGGAGACTAGTCACACAACCACTCAAAATTTCTTTTTTCCTCTACTGCTTCAGCTTTATGGAGAGGGTGCAGAGGACTAAGCAGAGAATGAAGTAAATTCTCAGCCCTGATCAAAATAGAGGGTGAGCTTTGTCATTCATTAGGGAAGAGAGAAGAAGTTAGAGCATTGCCTAATCGTGAGACCAGAAAGAAAAGACGAACCCGCAGCAGAGGCCACTTGCTTCTGTTTTCCTATGCTGCCTTACCCTATCCTGTAAATCTGTCTGGTTTTTCTACTCCTCTACTTTTCTCTGCTTCTTGACTTCTCAGTATAGAACATGCCTTCAACGTGAAAACAATGGTAAAGAGACCTTACTAGGACTGGGGTGGATATTTGAGGGTGGTGTCACAAGAGAGAAAAACAAACTACTCTGTGTGGAGTCACCACATGATGAGAACAGAAAGAGGAAGAACAAGAATACTGACATTCAAGTTCTACTGTTGTTTGTCAAGACAAACTGTTTATCCAAAAGTCCAGGAGACTATCCTTTCCTAGGACACCTTCGAGTTAGCTTTTAAGCCTTAAGTGGTTTGTGGATCCTGATGACCGGCAAGAGGGTTGCTACTTCCGGTCTTTCCCCACTCCTTTTCTTCTTCTTCTTTTTTTTAAGAGAGATTTTTGTTATAGGGCACTCACCAGAAAGAGAGAGAGAGACAGAAAGTGAGAAATCACCCCCTTGGAAGAATGGCCATGCCACAATCCCTTCTCCTCCATTCTCTTCCTGGGATCTTGGGCATACATGCGTGCCCAGCATGAGTTTTAAGCCACCGGGTCCGGAACTCAAACCGTGGTTGACTACGTGGGAGAGTTCAGTGACATAACCATTACGCCATCTGCTCGTACCCCACTCCCTTTCTTTACCTTGCTCTGCAATCTCAATCTCCCGGCGTCCAAATTCTGCCTGCTTGATGTTCTTCACACAGAAATTGCTGCTGCCCTTGGAGTTGGTTTGCTGCTTCTCTCGAGGAGAGACCTCATCATCAGAGCTATCCGTGTAGGACGCAGCTAGAGACAGGTAAAAAAGAAAAGAGGATAGCAAAACCTCAATGGCCCCAACTCCACAGAGTACAGCCCCCCCAAGGGACTCTCATTTAAGTTAAGCGAATACTCTTAATTGGAGCTACATTTTACATCACTCTTGGTTCTACTTCTCAAGGGTCTAATAGATGGTATGAATGAGACTGCTGTGGCTCTTTTACCCCCCAGTGATGCTGTGTCATTAGTGATAAGGAGCCACTGATCCTAATCCTGTACCAGCTGCCACGATCTCAGAAAACAGAGGTACTTGATCCCATTTGGACTGGAATCAGATTTGGCAAAACTGGAAAAATAATTTAGGACAGATAAGGAATGCTAATTTTACAGATCACTGGTTCTCAAACTTAGCATGAAAAGCATCTATCGGAACCACATGGAATGTTTGTTAAAACGGATTGCTCAGAACCCACAGTCAGAGTTTCCCATTTGGTAGTTCTCCGGGAATCCAAGGATTAGTATTTCTAACAGGGTCCCAAGATATTGCTAACACTGCTGGTCAGAGAACCACTGATAGAGATGGCAGTGCTAAGACCACGTTACAAGGGGTTTACACTAGGTTGTGCTCAGAGAAATGACACAAAAGACAAGCAGTTCTGATTCTCTTGCCAGTTCTGGAAAGTTTGTCAAGATGATCAACTTTAAAAAGCAGCCTTATAGGTCGGCAGGTAGTGTGGAGGTTAAGGCACTGATCCCAAATGGCCAACAACAAAGTTCAAGCCTTGGACCCAGCAGCTTGGAAAATATGCTAGGAACACGTATGTGTATGCTCAAGATCCTGAAAAGAGAATGGAGAAGGGACTGCAGTGTGGCCATCCCCTTGGGAGGTGATTTCTCTCTTGCCCTCTCTCTCCCCCTCTGTCTGTCTCTCTCTGGTGAGCACATGCGTCACTGTAGCAAGAAAAAAAAAATAGCTTTACATAAAAGCTAAAAATATCTTTCAATCCCTCAGACAGATATGCACGAGGATATGTAACAATTGCTCCTTACCTCCCAGATTCCTCTTTCCTCTCTCAGTCAAGTATTTCCTCATCCTTCTTTCTGCCAGGGCATCAGGTCTCTCTCACTGACTTCTATATATAGGTCCTCCTTCTGTCCAACTAACACAAATACTACTAAAGGTTATCTTCCCCACTATGACAATTTAACTATGTCACTAACCTCTTATAAACGTTCTAATCAGTTTCTATAACATGGCCATCAAGGTCCTTGAAGACTTCTTTAAAACCTTCTTCACTTATTGCAGTTTTCTTCTCCTTCAAAAATTTCCCCTTCCTTCTTAGCTGTCATTAGCCTGCTTGTCACCCACCACCTTTTTTATCTACCATGGTACCTTTTTATTTATGATAGCTATTACATACAGAACTGGTTTTTTCCTTTGCTTACTATGCCAACAGTGAATCCATATATTCATTTATTTCATATATACCACCATTTGCTTTTGTCTCTCCACCTTGTCTGTACTGGTTTATCAGTGGCACAGGCAGAGATAGGGTTTGTGGTTTTTTTTTTTTTTTTTTTTTTTTTTTTGTTTTTTCTTTTTTTGAGAGGTTTTTGCTATAGGGCGCGTGTACTCGCTGAAAAGACAGAGAGAGACAGAGACAGAAAGCAAGAAATTACTCCCCAGGGGGGATGGCTATGCTGCAATCCCTTCTCCTCCATTCTCCTCTCAGGATCTTTGGCACTCATTTTTTTTTTTTTTTTTTTTTAATTATTTGCTTTTTTACATTCCTTATACCTCATACAACATAAGGGATATTCTGGTAAAGGACAATGAGTGGCTTTTGGTATAAATATTTTTTATTAATAGTATCTATAATCTTGGGCAACCCTCTTAATCTTTTAACAATGATTCTTCAGTTGAACAATGAGGGGGTTGGTTGAGATGCCCCCAATGTTTCCTCCAGAGTTCAATCTCTAAGATTCTATTTCCTTTTCCACTTTAATTTTCTAATACCCACCTCTATAGTTGGGAAGGGCACTGAATTCAAATCAGAAAAATATTTTACTTAGAGAGGACTAAACTAGGAGGGGCCAAGATAGAAAGGGAAACTATAAAGAAGTAGAGCTGAGGTCAGCTGGTAGTGTGGTGGTTAAGGTGGCTGGATTCCACATGGTCAACTGGTTCAAGTCCCTGACCCAGCGGTTTGAGAAAGCCAGATGCATGTATGTGCATGCCCCAAATCCCAAAAGAAAAGGGGACTGGGACATGGCCATCTCCCCTGAGGAGGGGGTGTTTTCTCACTTTCCCTCTCTCTCTTGCAAGTGAACTTGCCCTGTTATAAACTTAAAAACGAAAAGAAAAGAAAAAAGAAACAGAACTGAAGTCACGCTACAGTGGCTTGACTCTTTCTTTTTCCCATTTCAGAGGTTAACATGGGGGGTTACCCACTTAAACATGAAGGGTAACCTAATTAATAAAAGGCACCAAAATACTAATTTTTATTGTTACAATTCAAGTGGTCTTCAGGACAAGAATGAAAAAGATAGGTGGAAAGGTCTATTTTATACAAAGAAATTATCCTTCAATTTACAATTCTTTTACAAGTCCAGTACCATCAGCCAAAATAGTATTGATTCCTTTCCTCTGAAATGTGGGTGAATAAATGAGGAAATGGGAACTAGCCCAGTACTATCAACTGGGCACTGACCACAGACCACACAGAGAGACAGGAAGAAAGTCTTGAGATGAGAAAAGTGTCTCAGCCTCAAGCCTGGCTGGGAACATTCCCATTGCTCAACCACTAATTAATTAAGCTTTCAGCACAAAATAGATAGTCCTGACATGAGGTATTTTTAGATTCTAGATAAGTGGAGATCACTGTGTAGTGAACAGGAAAGAGATCAGAGAGGACAAGTTCGCACCTACCTGAACTGTAGCTGTCAGTGGAGGACTGAGAGATGGAGCGAGACAAAGATCTTCGGCCAGTCTTGGTGGGGAATTTGGTGAACTCCTGCATGTCATCAGCAAACTGGATTTGCTATAAAAGACAAAAAGTTGAAAACTTAAAAAAGGAATTCCATAAAATGTTCCATTTTTAAGGCCACATCTTATCTTCCCTAAAAGCCAACATTATCATGTGGTTTCTATTAAGCTAGCAACTCTTATCACCAGAAATGATGGAGGGCGGGGCTGATCTTCTTACTTTTCCCCAAATGCCGGTTACAGTCTTCCTAATTGTTTCAGTAGGACATAATATTCTCCTGTTGCAAATTTTTATCCTGAAGTTGGCAATGGTCTTGCTCTTCAAAAGAATTATGAATTAAGAGATGCCTAGAAATGGTGATGGGCATTAGGATGCCAATACTTGGAGCCCAGCCACATGTTCATACTTCACAAAGCCAATGCAGTATCCCCATAATCACCTATATCGAGTAAAAATGGAAAACGCCAGGGACCAGCAGTTAGTGTAATGGCTTTTTTCCTGGCCTCCCGCGTAGTCGCCCGCCGTTCGCGTCCTGGACCCAGTGGCTTAAAACTCACGCTGGGCGCGTGTGCGTGCGTGCCCGAGAGCAGAATGGAGGAGAAGGGATGGTGGCGTGGCCATCCCCACTAGGGGGTGATTTCTCGCTTCTATCTCTCTGTCTCTGTCTATTTGGCGAGCGCACACGCCCTATAGCAAAAAACCTCTCCAAAAAAAAAAGGAAAATGCCAGAGTATACTGGTGGGAGAGAAACATTAAAATGAAAGAAACACATATACCACAGTAAATACTAATTAGGACTTTTAGTTTGTAAGGCCAGAGAGACAGAGGGAGCAAACACCCTCCTATGGGACATGATCACACAGCAATCCCTTCTCCTCCATTTCTCCATCCTGCTGGGATTTGGGGCATGCAGGCACACGTGTCTGGCATATTTTTCAAGCTGCCAGGGCTGGAATTCAAACCGCTGTTGGTCATGTGGGATCTAATCCCTTTAACCAAAAGGCCATGGAGCCAACCCAGGACTAATTTGAAGGAAAGAGAAGATAATGACTTGGTAAACTATGTATTAAAAACTTCCTTAAATGAAATAAACCACACTGAAGGGTACTTGAAGACTGGCTTTAAAAAATAGGAAAGAGCTTGTAATTAATGTTAGATACAAATTAATGGATGTTGCTAAAGTGTAGAAAACACTTCTTTTACATGGCTTAAGCTTTCCTCTTGCATTCCTGTTTATATTCTTATAAATCATTTTTTCAAAATATAAAATAAATTGCACCTTCCTAAAATAAACAGGATAGTCTGAGAATCTGAACTGAGATTCTCCTCACAATTTAAATCTAAAAGGTTCCCATGGAGAATCCACTAACTCAAGTATTTAGAAAATATTTCTGGATATGTAAACTATTATAGATCAAAATCTCTGCATAATGCTAGCAACATGGTTACAATCATTTTTTTTTTTGGAGAAGTTTTTGCTATAGGGCGTGTGTGCTCGCCAGAAAAACAGTGAGAGGCAGAGAGACAAAGCGAGAAATCAACCCAGGGGGGATGGCCACGCGGCAATCACTTCTCCTCCATTCTCCTCTCGGGATCTTGGGCACGCATACATATGCACCTGGAGTGAGTTTAAGTCACTGGGTCTGGGATTTGAACCGTGGTCGACTACATAGGAATCCAGCAACATAGCTATTATGCCAACTGCTGGTCCCCGTGGTTAAAATAATTTTAAAGACCCAAACAGTAAACCACTCATTAGTAATAGCTGCAAAATCTTCCCCTCCTCTGTCCCATGTACCTCCCAGCTAGGATGGCACAGTTTGCAGTGTAAGAATGAGCTGTGAGTGGACAGCCCATACATAGCTAATATGACCAAATCAAACACTAAGTAGGACTCCACAGACAATGATGCAGTAATCAAGGGAACAAAGGTTTGAGCTTTCAACTTTTTGTCTAGCATGGTTTGTACCAAGAATGAAAGCAGAGAACAACCCGGTATGCTTCTATTTAAAAGACTTGGTTTGGGGCCAGCAGGTGGCATGGTAGTTAAGACACTGGACTCCCACATGGCCAGCTGAGGTCCAAACCTCGTGGCCTGCTTTCTCATTTTCCCTCTCTTTCTGTTTCTCTTGGGTGAAATTTTAAAACAAAAACAAACAAACAAACAAAAAACAAACAAAAAACCCCATAAAATTAAATAAATAACTCAAAAAGCAAATAAACCTGAGTTCAGGGGCAAGCAGGTGGCATGGTAGCTAAGGTGCTAGACTCCCATATAGCTCACCACAGTTTAAGTCCTGGACCTGGTTGCTTGAAAATCATACTGGGCACATGTGAGTGCATGCCCAAAATCCTGAGGAGAAGGGATGAGAAGGGACTGCGCATGGCCATCACCCCTGTGGGGTGATTTCTCACTTTCCTGTTCTCTGTATCTCTCCTCTCTGGAGAGCACACATGCCTTATGACAAAAACCTAAAACAAAACAAAACAACCTTAGTTCAACAACTGGATAGGTATTTCTCCCCCTCCCCCTTCTCTGTGAATTTAGATGGGGCAAAGTCCACAGCCTGTTTTATTAATTCTATGAACAGATCCAAAAGGCACAGACAGGAAAGAGTTACATATCCTGGCATCTATCCCAGAATCTTATACATGTAAGAAGGTATTTAAGAAGTATCTATAGAGCAAGTGAACCTTTTAAAACCCTGTCTTCTGGGCTGGCTTCATGGTGTGCCAGTAATGTACCGTTCAAGAAAAGTCAGATTCCACACGGTGACTGTAGGCCAAATCCCTGGTCTGGTCAGCTTGAAACACACTGGGCATGGGCACAAGTGGCCAAGATCCAGTGGGCTGGATGACCGGAGGAAAGGGACTGCAGTGTGACCAGACCCTGTGGAGGGTACTTCTTTCTTTCCCGTGCACATGCTTATCATAAATAAAGAAAAATCATTTCTTCTGTAAGACCAAATCCATCAAGCTTAAGAGATAAATACATAAATAACAAAAACTCAAGTTAAACTACACATACTGCACCAGACGTTAACAAGTACTTGGTACCATCCAAAGCAGCAGCTTTTAAAATTTAGGTTCTAAAATTGTAATTTGAAAATAGCTTAAATATCAAAAGCACAACTGCCTTAAAAAAATACAAAAAACAAACAACAAAAACAACTCACTGAGGTGGCCATAGATCATCTGCCCTTCTGCCTAAGGTTTCCCATGATATGTTCACATGACTTCCCCAATCAGCAAAGCCAGTTTTACTGCAGAAGTTAATTCAGGTAACTTTCAACCAAATATGCACACATTTTGGTGGTGAAAAAAAAAAAACCCAGTTAAGAGACCACCACTGCCTTATAACACACTTGAGCAGCAGCCCTTCCTCTACCAGCTTCCCTGCTGCTGGCGTGGGCAGCCTACTCGGAAGCTGCCTCTCCCTTCATAGCTGTTATGATTCCCTCCCCTGCTCATCTTTTTTCTAAAGGTTCTGGGCATGTTCCCAGACACTAGCTACGTTGGGGGTGAGGGTGGAGGAAGGAACTGCAATAACATTTAGTTTTTTAGATTAAAAAAACAAGAGAGGTGGCTGTGGCAAGAAAGAAATTCATTTCTTTAGCAACCTAAGAATTGAATTAACAGCCATAATCTCTACTTATATTAACAAAGCTCATCAGTATCCTAAAAGCTTAGTAAAATCTTCTCTACCTAAAAACGCTAGATTGCAAGCCACTTACTAATCAGTACAGTGCCCTTTGTCTGTCATCTCTCAAAACATGAATATGGTCTACATTTGAAGTGGGCTTGATAACTCAAGCCATGACATGGACAGGCAGTTGCCTATTCTTGTAGCTCTTTGATAGTCTCATCGCTTACAAAGTGGTCCAGCAATACAGAGACGCATGATGACCTTGTCTTCTCCCCCACCCCAAACTACATGCTGAAGTGACCTGGATCACAACTGCTACTAGGGACTGCACCTGCTCTGACAGTTTCTTCCAGGCCTGCTAGCTCCACTGGTTTTCTTCACAGCTGGCAGCTCTGTTTCCCCTTGGTGAAGCACCTCCTAGAGTGTTGTTCACTTTCACATTGTAAATAAAAACGCTACTGCTAAAAGCAACTTTGGGATGTCAGAAGTTTTCTCTACAGTGAAACCAGACCTCAATAACAGCCTTTTGATTGGGCTGGTGGACTCACAGCATTTAAACCAAGTATGATAATCTGGGTAAAAAAAGGAAATAAAAAAACTGCAAAGTTGTTCTGTTTATATCATTTCCTATTGTGTTTTCTTTCAATCATGAAATCTTTTAAAAAAATAATTATTTAATTTTGCTTATTATTATTATTATTTTGGAGAGGTTTTTGCCACATAGCCATTATGCTAACTGCTGGTCCCATGCTTATTGTTATTTTTAATGCACTGAGAGACTGAGAGAGAGGGAGGGGGAGAGAAAACAAGCCACCAGGTCTGGGACTCAAACTGCAGTCAGCCATGTGGGAGTTCAGCATCTTAACCATCATCCCACCTGCTAGCCCCTCAAATCATTAAATCTTGATTGGCATGCTTTAGTGTTTTTCAAATCTAGATCTACAAGGAATACTAAATCTAAATATAGCGTGTAAAGGGGAAGTGGGGAAGGGAAAAGGAGATAAAGTATTTTGAAGTTCAAAAAGTATCTTAATGTCAGAAAGTCTTAGGTTGAAGAACTATTTTGTTAAACAGCATTACCCACATGGAACAAGCACACCAGTGTTCCATTCCTGAACTAACAGTACATCTGAGAAAGAGCAGAAGGTCAGATTGACCCATTCTTCAAATAGCACAACCAAATACAGAAGTATACTTGCTGTGTCTTTAAAAATCCAATCACATATCAGTCCAGTCTGACATGCTATTTTAAAGTACCTCTTCAAATAGCTTAGTAGGCAGGATGATTAGCTTTCTTTCATGTGATGATGAGAATTGTAAAGCAAAGCTTCACTGGGTAAATCTGGGGTATGGTACATGCACCTTGTGGTACATTTGGTGGGAACGAGCTGAAATAATTGTATAGAAT